AATAACTACTGTAGATATTTGAGCAAGAGTGATAATGCACCTTTGTCCTTAAAAGAGTCTCAATTTATGGATACAGATAAGAGCTCATGCTCACACTAGGGAAATACTCTAGGGGCCAATAGGAAAGAATTTGTGGGAGATAAATCCAGTAAATTTAATGAGATTGAAGGAGTCAGTAGACTCAAAGATTGACCACTCAAGCGTGGATGGTAAGGTCTTTCACTGAAATAAGGACAAGGGGATGTTTACACAGGAAGGAGAACAAGTGGACAATGATGAAATCTGTCTTGAATTTGTTGAGTCTGAGGTACTGGTGAGACATATTAAGTAGATTCTTAGAACTTCAGGTTTTGAGCTGAAATTTGGTAGAAGCCAAAGAAAATATGTGAAGATTGGAACATGGAGTTTAGTTGGATCCTTGGGAAAGGGTGAAAAGGAATAAGGCCAAGTTGGGTGTGCATAGGAACACTAATCACTGTATCAGGAGTTACAGTGTGTACCCTGTGTACCCTTCACATATGTAGGACGCTATTGGGAATGGTATGGTGCAGAAGGGAAAAGGGAGGATAACTTACCTGCACTTATTTTCCAGGGGCCTGTGGCAAAAGAATTGAGTGGATTGCCATCTGGACCCTCTGCTGGATCTGGCCCTCCTCCCCCTCCACCAGGCCCACCTCCCCCCACACTCCCCACCAGTTCAGGCTCAGATGACTCTGCTTCACGCTCAGCACTGTTTGCGCAGATTAATCAGGGGGAGAGCATCACACATGGTAAGTGGCAAAGAGTTGGAACAGTAAGTTGTTTGGACCAGACCTTACCAACTAGAGATGTAACAGTCTGTAAAACAGAACCCTGGCTTGTATATGGGAGAATTCATTTGGGGTGTCATGTTCCCTCAGGTTGCCCAGACAGCAGTGCTAGCTTAAATGGAAATTAAAAATGGGTGATTATAGTTAGAGGGAAGCCTTCTGCTCCATAGGAAAGTGATTTAATATCAAGTGGCCTATAGGGTGCCAAGGCATGGTACCGTAGTTTTCCAGATCTTTTTCCATATTACCACATGGTGTCTCCAGGAAGTCATTGTGTTACAGAGGATGCATACTAGTTACATGGAAATTTTGCATAAGAATTACCTAATGTTGGCATAAAGAAAATAGACACCCTTACAGCAGGTGGAAGTCTAAATTCCTCTTCTAGGATTATACTTATAAAAAAATCTAAAAGAAAGGACAAGTTTTATAGTGTTATTTATATTAGATAAAATGGTGTAATGACCAAAATATGCCAAAAGAGAAACGGTAAGTTGTGTTGTGTTCTCTTGATGGAATATTCTACAGACACTAAAATTTTTCTACTGTGTGAACTATGCAGTGTTTAAGAAAAAGATCTAGTATCTAAAGCCACAGGGCATGGTGGAGCAAAATCAGGCACTTAGTTTTAGTTGTAGAGATTGGGCCATGATCATAATCAAGCAGTGTGTTAGGCTGCTGAGAGAGATATAGGGTCATTTCACCAAAAACATATTATAGAAGCTGTAAGTTAATGTGAGAACATCTCATAATTTTATTGTTAATTGGTTAAATCAAATGTGTTAGTTATAACAAAATAAACTATAAATAGAAAAAATATTAGAAGGGAAGTTTCAAATGCTGACTGATGGGGGGAGTGGGCAGTAGGTTAGCCACAGATGTAGTCTTTTTGCTTGACTGAATTTTCTCTACCATCACATAACTACTTCCTCTGTCACTTTAAAAAAAATACATATATATATTTTGCAAGTATGTATTTGGTATATGTCTTTCTAGATATTTTTCTATGCATTTATAGACATACTTATCCTCCTACCCCACAATTCCATGTTTTATTCTTTCAAATGGAACTATGTAATTTAACCTCAGTGGAGAAGATAAATTATAAAAGCACTTCTCCAAAACAGCTTGTAAGAAAACATCTCAAAGTCTGATTTGGGACTTTTGACTAATGTGTTAAGGATCAGTTTAAATTCTGATGGCAGAAGTTGGTTATTGCCTCACCTCAACGCCTTCATATGAAAACAGTTCACAAGAACAAACGTTACTCCTACAGCCCTGAAACATGTGTCTGATGATATGAAGACCCACAAGAACCCTGCACTTAAGGCTCAGAGTGGCCCAGTGCGCAGTGGCCCTAAACCATTCTCTGCACCTAAACCAGGAGTCAGCTCCTCTCCCAAGCCAGTCACGAAGAAGGAGCCAGCTTTACTTGAACTGGAAGGCAAGAAATGGAGAGTGGTAAGTTTAAGATGCCAGGACTGAGGGAACAAGCAGCTTGGACAGGGGGCTTAAGTGGAGCACAGCCAAATGTGTTCAGGCTTCTGGCTTAGATTATAAGAATAAAAGTTTAGGATAACCTGTTTTGGTGGGGTGGTATGTGCTTAATGATGATATTCCTAAAAGGGATATATCTTTCACAGGAAAATCAGGAGAATGTTTCTAACCTGGTGATTGATGACACTGAGCTGAAACAGGTGGCTTACATATACAAATGTGTCAACACAACATTGCAAATCAAGGGCAAAATCAACTCCATTACAGTAGGTGAGTTCTGTCCCAGGCAGGCTCTGTCCTAGAGCCTGAGAGGCCTGGAACCATTTTACCTCCTCTAATGCTAAAGATTCTTAAATATGTTACTCTTCTTTGAAGTTATAGTGTTGACCTCCTCCCTTCCTTCTCCTAGATAACTGTAAGAAACTTGGTCTGGTGTTTGATGACGTGGTGGGCATCGTGGAGATAATCAATAGTAGAGATGTCAAAGTTCAGGTAACTTAAGATCTTGGCTCCTCCTTTTGGTCCCTGGGGAATTAATTGAAAAAGACACAGCCGACTCACAGATGTTGCTGTGGTGGGAATCTGATTCTACAAAGTCTGTAAGCTGAGCTGCTTTGGATGTGGCAGAAGAGGAGCTGGCTCTTATAATGAGCTCTTTCCCGCACCCATCACCCATTCCAATCTGCCCCTAGTATCCAATATCTGTTGTGCACCTGTGAGCTTTTCATGTAGCTGCTGAATCACGTGTTAACAGTGAAAGCTGTTCCCACAACTGTTACTCTCCCCAGCTGCTGGAATTCAAGTGTTCTTGGTCTTCTCTGCAGGTAATGGGTAAAGTGCCAACCATTTCCATCAACAAAACAGATGGCTGCCACGCTTACCTGAGCAAGAATTCCCTGGATTGTGAGATAGTCAGTGCCAAATCTTCTGAGATGAATGTCCTCATTCCTACAGAAGGCGGTGACTTTGTAAGTTTCTTTATCTTTTTTAGTATGATCTAAAAGCAGAGGAACTAAAGATCTCTTGCACTGGAGAAGTTGATGACATTCTGCACTGAGTAGGTCAAACTCAGCAATGCACACAAGCATTAAGTAGTCTCACAAAGCAGAGCTCTGTAGGAGGGTAGATTCCGACTTTCTGGTTGAGCACTTGCTCAGGGTAGTACGCCTCATAGATTTGACAGTTTGTCCAAGATCACCAAGCAGTAGAAACAGTGAAACCTACATGTCTAGCTTTGGAGCCTTTGTCCTCCTTCCTACATTGCAGTGCTTTTTTGTCGTAACAGTGGCAGGGGAAGTGGTAGTATAAGTTATGGTATTGTCATTTACATAGCTAGCTTTTTCAGGTGGCTTCAGTTTGTCACTAACCTTACCAGTCTCAGAGTTTAGTGAAAAAAGAATTGGGAGTAAAGTATAAGATTTAATCCCAGCTTATTTTTTAGCTCAGATTTAAATCTGTTGTTTCTTTATTTGCAGAATGAGTTCCCAGTCCCTGAGCAGTTCAAGACCCTATGGAATGGGCAGAAGTTGGTCACCACAGTGACAGAAATTGCTGGATAAGCGAAGTGCCACTGGGTTCTTTGCCCTCTCCCTTCACACCATGGGATAAATATGTATTAAGACGGTTCTTTTCTAGATTTCCTCTACCTTTCTGCTCTTAAACTGTTTCTCTGCTTTGAGAAGCACAGCTACCTGCCTTCACTGAAATATACCTCAGGCTGAGATTGGGGTGGGATAGCAGGTCAGTTGATCTTCTGCAGGAAGGTGCAGCTTTTCCATATCTGCTCAACCACACCACCAGTCCATTCATAAGGAAGTGCAGACCAGGACTGGTGTTTTAGCTTTCAGTTTTGGGGAGTTATTTGACCAACAGACAGTCTTTTGGGAAGAATTAAGTAGACCCCAGGAATTAACAGATCAGAATATTCACACAAACCTTTTCCTAACAATCAGCATGAAGGTAGCAGAGGCTGGTGTGATTCCAGTTGTTCTAATCAAACTAATATTTCACTGTTGACAAGTGAGGAAGGGGTTATATTGGACCAGAGGCTGAAGCTTGGCTATCTAGCATTCCAAGTAAAATTATTTCCTATAAGCATTCCTTTATTCTGCATTCATTCCTAGGTCTGCCTGAAACTGAGATAGCAGGTTCTTCTATACCAGCTGCTATGGCAGTGCCCTGCACCCAGGCCAGTTAAAGGAGTCTTTTACTCTTTCTCTAGTATCCCTGCCCAGCACCTTCCTACAGAGATTTAAAAACAAAAGCAAAAAAAAAAAAAAAAAAGGAAAAACAAGACATCATTCCAAGTAATCTGGCATTCCTTCTTCCTTCCATGCTAGGTGCCTGTCATCCATCTTCACTGCCTCCTTTGCCTGTCATGCTCAATAGCTTTTGGCTTCTGTCTGGGCATCTGAACAGAGAACTAAAACCTCCACTCCTGATTGTAGGTCTTATGGAAGAATCTTGCACAGCATTGCTAATGTAAATTTCAGTTTTTCCCTCTAGGACAAACACCAAAATATGCAAGTTCTTTTGGTGGGAAGAGCAATTGTCCTGTGACTTCTACCCATTTCCTGAGGCCTGTGGAAATAAACCTTTATGTACTTAAAGTTATACAGAAAATAGAATAAAATTAATACCAAACTTGTGTATTTATCTATGATTTTGCTATACAGAGAGGTAAAGATAATGAAAAATGACACCAAAGATAAGAAACTACTCTTTATTTCAGACAATTCATTATTTCCACATCCCCTACTTCTAGCTCATATTCTTCATCTTTTAGTTGAAAAATAAAGCATGAGGGAGGAGAAGGATAACTGAAGGGTAAACACTGCAAAATTAATAAGGTGCTTCCATAAAGCATAACTAGTCATTTCCCCAAAGAAACTAGTCATTTCTGGCATTCTGCAGAACAGTCTTCCAGAAAGTGTTGGGTTTTCACGGGCTGAGGTGCTCATGCTCACATAGGATAGAAATGGCAGATTAGGTTAGTATAGGAATCCTCAAAGTCCTTAATCTAATGTGGTTGATCTCTAAGATGAGAAAGCAGGTTACAGTCGTCCTCAAGCTTTTTGAGCAAACAATCCTTTTCTCCACTGATCATACTAGAAACCATTTGGAGTATGCTGGTAAATATGATTTTGGAGGGTGAAGTTAGAAAGCCAGAGATCTCTTCACATTTTTCCTTCCCACTTATCTCGTATTCCCAGCAATAGAGGAATTCTAGAATCCAGACTACTAGTCATTATGAAAGGCCAGGTTAATCAAGGATGGAAGGGAAGGAACCAGCTGCCTCATTTTTCATTTCCACTTGTACAATTTCCCTCACACTCTCCACCCCCACCCCCAATTAAGCAAGATGCCCATTCCCACCCACACACAATCCAATTCAGTACTACTTACACCTTTTGTGACAAAAGAACTAAGCCACTACCTAAGGAGATAAAAAGTTTTATGTAAATTTATATTTACAATATAAGTGCTGTGCCACTGAGGTAAGATGGTGGGCTAGCAGGGTAAGTCTAATTGCTAAGACAACACAGAAGGTAACCCACTCAAGAGGGCAGCCTCAAGAAATGTGACCTAACAGTACTTTTCCAAGCATTAGTTAAAACAGCAAAACAGCATTTATGTAAATTGCATCAGGCCTGGGGACCAGCCTCTTGCTTTGAAGCATGCTGGGCTTTCCCAAGAAAGGTGTTTGCCTCAGAATCTGCCTCATGGCTAGAATTCGTTCAGTCTCTTCTGGGCCTGGGCACAATTCTGGCACTGATACGGAGCAGACTCCATTACCTATGACATCTTGATCACACCAAAGGGTTGTAAAACAACCTCCATGGTTATTAGCTAATTAAACTTGGGTTCAACCATATGCTAATAGGATGAGGCAAAAGATAAGATTCGTGTCTTAGATCTTTCCAAGCAGGGCATGTTAGATAATAACTAGAGAGGATTAGTTGCAAGCAGGATCTAAGTTCAGGCTTAGGTATGAAGGGAACTGTCTCCAAATGGTTTGGAAGCACTAAGCTCCCTGAGCTCTGGTGCAAACTAGCAGGGCTTCATTGAAGGAAAGGTATGATGTGGGCATAAAACCAGTCTTCAGACAGTTGAAGATGGTCACCTTCTACACCCAGGAACACTAGCTGTCCTGCCTTGTCCATTTCCTTTAGCCCCAGGCGGTCCTGAAGAGAGAGAAGCCATAATTTAGAGGCTTGATAAAAAGTTTTAGCATAAAATACTAAAGAAACAGAATGTTAACTTAAAATATTAGAAACCATTTGGAGTAATTAATCTTTTCCAAGTATTAAAAATTAGGTATTGGGCCTCCCTGGTGGCGCAGCGGTTGAGCGCTGGGTTGCGAACCTGCCCGCAGCCTCTGCGACGCCGGTTCAATCCCCGGCTGCTCCCCGGCCACAGGAGGAGGGTCCCACATGGCGCGCAGACCTCTCCTGCCGCCCGCTGCTCCCCTCAGCAGTGTACTTCGGTCCTTCTGCCTGCTCTGCTCCCCGCTCTGGCTCTGGTGAATTCTCTCACCCTCCCGCGCTTCTGACTGTACCCAGTGCATGTATAAACAAAAAACAAACAAACAAACAAATAAATAAATAAACATGCCTCTATAAAAAAAAAAAAAAATTAGGTATTGTCAAAAATACCAAAAAAGGTAACCTTCCAGTTTTTTTTCCCAGGCATTAAAAATGTATATGCAATTGAGACTATAGTAAAGTGTTTTATGTCCTGCTTCTGAAGTTTCCCAAAGTTTCTGGAGAACCAATTATGGTTGGCAGGCAAGCTACAGACAAAAAGGCCTCAAAAAGTCAATCAAGTGGGGCTGAGGCAAATGAACACAGAACATCAGCTAGATAACTTAAGACATAGCCAAGCCTTAAGTAAGTAACCTCAGACATTTTCATCTGCAACTGAAAATGTCACCCACCAATGAGGCGCTGCAGAACAAGTATGGTTGGGCAGATGAGCAATTTCAATCATGCCAGAATTTTGCTTCTGCAGTAGCTAACTTTGAGTTTCATGATAAGGAAGTTCTTTGTCATTTTCAAAACTTAAGACATACCCTGGATTCCCTTTGGTTTTACCTCACCCAAGCTGAGGCACCAAATGCAGGAGAAAGGCCAGAAGAGACCTCTGACATTACTTGGAGAAATTCTAATAAAAGCAAGTGATTTAGTTGTAGTATTTGTGTATTGTTGAGAGTCTATCTCCAAATGAAAGGCCCTAGAACTGAACGTGGTGAAACACTGCTGCAGTCTCCGCTTAAGAAACAGGACCTGTTGCTAAAAAAAATCCACAACGCTACTCCTATTGGTCTCCTGCAGGAGCTCCCCCTATAGTGCCTGAAACAGGACTTCCACATCTATCAATGTTTTAATAAAGTTAACACTCAACATTGTCATCATTTTCATTATACACAAGGGCTTCTTGGATTTGCAGCAGGCTGCACATTAGCAAAGGAAGCCAATTCTAAGCCTTTTTATCAGAGGGAAGGAGTTAGAGATGGCGTATCTCTTGTACATGCTTGAAAACCATGAGATAACAGGTCCTTCAACATTCAGGATGTGGATTTATGTCAACCAGCTTCTATGCTAGTGCAACAATCACCAGCCTCACAAGCCTTGCCCATAAGGGTTAGATGCCTCAAGAGCATCTGGGGCATACAGTGTGTACCACCGAAGAACTAAGCAGCTTTAGGAATGAAGAACTACACATGACAGCTGCTCGCCTTCCCAGTTACCTGTGTGTATAGAGGGGTCTCCTGTAAGGGAATGGTCTCCTTGGCTTGACCACTTCTGTAAAATCCAAACCACTGCAGGAGAGGAGGGAGAAATAAGGTCAGATTGGACACACAGCACATAATGCCAAACTAAGATGGGCTAGGAGTTTAAAAAAAATACCAACAAAGTAAACAACATAAAGCTGTAGCAAGGTGGAAAAACAGGATGTCTTGAATCATCTCTTTTAAGGTTGGATCCTGGGGAGAAATAAAATTTTCCGAAGAGTTTGTAAATTCCCTAGAAATTTTTTTTTTTTAGTTTAGTTTTGCTTTTACTTTATGTTCCCACTTTATAAATATCTTAAACTATTTACATTGTCCCAGAAAGCAGATTGGAAGTTTTACATTTTAAACAGCTGCCAGCTCTATTGCATTCCTTCCTCACTTTAGTAATCAGTCTTGGAGTTTTAGTATCTAGATGGATTTCAGGTACTGAACGAGGAGTGAGAAATGTGATCAGAGATACACATACATAAAAAGCAAATGCAACTTGTCTGAGTCTTCTCTCAGCTCCAATGTGGGTTTTCAGTCAGGTGAAGAACTTTTCAGGGTTTTTTTGGTGATCTCTCAGACACACTTTTATAATATATACATTTTGGGTCAACTGATACTACACTTCCTAAAATACCAATAGTTGAATTACTGGCATTTCAGAAATAAAGAGAAAGAACTAGGTAAGAAGGAAGATGCAATTCCCCAGAATTTCTACCTTCTATAATTTCTGAGCACCTTCCCTGTGAAAACCCTTGTGCTGGACCCTAAAATGTTCAAAAAAGAATATGTGTGTGGTCCCTGTTTTCAAGGAACTTTAGTCTCTAAACAAGACACAGAGACAACTTATTGTTTAGCACAGCATACTTTCTTGTAAAGGCCAGATATAAAATATTTCAGACTTTTTAGAGCCATGGTTGCAACTATCCACTGCTGCGAAAAAGCATAAACAAAAAGCACATGAGAGAAAACACTTGCCAAGTTTGGGGCATTTCAAGTAGCACAATAAGGCTTTATCAGGACCTATGAACTGAGTAAAGCGTGGTTGGAAAGAGAGGTCAAAGGCCAATCTTGAATGCCAACTTTAGGGATTTATAGACTGGGCTGATGGCTCTGAACCTTTCTTTGGGTCATAGGTCTCTGAAAGTCTGACAAAAATAATAGGCCCCTCAGAATGCAACTACATAATTTCACATACAGTTTTGATGATGGGGGCCTACGATCCTCAGTGTCCCATTTATAGACCTCAGGTAATGAACCCTTGTTCTACACAGACCGATGGGACTGAAGGATTTTTTTCCCTGCAGCAGCTGGGTTTTAATACCATTTACTGTGTGGTCTGGCATATTGTGGCCTACCTAAGCCGCAACTCACCTCAGAATCCACAGGGTCCACAATGGAATCATTCAGGAATTTCACCATCACAAACTTCTTCAAGGCCATCAGATTTTTCTTGTAGGACTCATTGACACACTGGAGAAAAGGCCAACAGTACCTCAGAGAGGCCATCATCAGGTTCCCACAGGGGGATTACACGCTCTGGTCTGCCCCTGCATTTCCTGCCCAGAATATACCTTGTGCAGCCTTTTCTTACCATCTTATCTGATCGACACACCCACCAACTAGGGCACACAGGTGCTACTCCACAGGTACCCGTCACAAAGGCTAAAGGGGTCTAGCCAGAGGAAGCCAAGGCAAAATATAGGAAACTGCAAGTTCGAAGTGCTCTTTACATATTCTGCTCCATTCCCTCCCCAACATCCCACTGAAAATATTTTTTAACCTCCAAATAAGCCCAATATAAATTGAGTCATGCTTGGTTTGGGGCACACTCAGTCCCTTCTGCAATATCTCTTCTGAGAAAAGTTGAGCAAAAAAAGGGACCCACCAGGAAGGCTTCCCTCATTGGACAGCAGCTGTGAATTTCCACTTAAGCCAGGCAGCGACCCACCCTGCTCCTTCAACACTAGGAAACGGAAAGGACCGAAGGGAAGAACGAGAAATGAACTTCAGCCTTCCTCAAAGGAACCGCATCTCATAACCACTGCCTCCAAAAAAACCCAGAACTTTTGTTCCCTGAGTTCTGCCTGGGATGTCTTAGATAAGCCGCCACGACCTGTGTATATGTATAATGCCCCAAACAGAGAAAGGAGTGCACAGCTACAGTAGACTGGAAGGGTGCTTACTCTTTCCTGATTAATATCTGCCAAGAAGACGCTGTGGTTGCGGTACATATCCTCATTTATGGGGTCGTGCCAGTATTCCGCTTGCACCAGGCTGCAGAAAGAAAAGGAATGAAGGTGACCAAGCTGCATGTCAGTGGCATGCCTGGGGCGTGTCCTTAGGCACAGGCCATCAGGAGACTCCAAAAGGTTCCAGGCTTCACCCTTCTGTAAGGAAGAAAAGGCTTCCACCTACAAAACAGGTTATCAATAAGACCCCTGAGCTTCTCTGCCTCCGGCATCAACACAGTGTCCATAAAGAAAATGTGGCCAAGGAGGGTGAAAGAGAGAAGCAGGTTCTAAAGTTTCCACCTTGACTAAACCCACCCTGGAGAAGACAGACTCACAGATGCTACCAGTTTGGAGCAGCTTTTTTGGGGCGAGAATCAAAGTAAATGGGAAAGCTGGGAATTTTGGTAAAGTGGTTATAATCACTCAATAGAGTAAGAGCAAGACCATACTGTAACTTGTGAGGTGCTTTTTTCCAAAAGGTTTTAGAAATAGCTCATCAAAAAATATGTGAAGAAGAATCTATGTGATTGGTTGCTGTTAGCAACAGCACGCAGTTGCTAATAGCAAAGAGAATTATGAACTGCATTACTTCAGAAGGGGAGAAAGGATAGGATTAAAACTCATTTATCTGGAACAATTTGTAGGAGTTCTTGAATAAAATTTGGGAACAAAAAAAAAAAAACACAACAAAACTAGAAAAACCAAAGGTACGTAAAGCAGGAATATACTACTTATAGCACAGGAGAGAAAATCAAGATTTAGGAAAAGGCCTCCTCAGGTACTGGTTCCCCAGGGCACAGAACTGAATGGCACTTACGTGATCGGTGCTGGTGGCACATGCTGTCCCCTCCCACAACCCCACCTCCCTCATCTTCCTTGGCTTGCTACTCATCCTGCAAGGCTCAGCTCAAAAACAACTCTCTGGGCCTCCCCTGGTGGAGCAAGCAGTTGATTGCCACGCTGTGAAGCTGTCTGCAGCCTCTGCAGCGCCGGTTTGATGCCAGCCAGCCGGCGAGGGTCCCACAAGGTGAGGCAGACCTCTCCTGCTGCTCCCGCTGCTCCCTTCAGCAGTGTATTTCGTTAGTCTGCCTGTTCTGTTCCCCGCTATCTCTGGTGAATCCTCTCACCCTCCCACACATCTGGCCTGTACCCTGGTTCTTGTATAAATAAATAAATGAATCCTTAAAAAAAAAACAACAACTCCCTGCTGTCTCTTCACCCAACCATCCATGTCTTCATCCATCTTGCCACACTTAGACTAGAATGGAGGTTTAACCATTTCATCACAAAGCATTCCTCAGACTGTCGTGCAATTTTTAAGGACAGAAGGCAGGTATTTGGTGGTAATAATAGTATTATTTCAGACTTCTATTTATACTTTTTTTTTACTTTCTCTCTAGTCTCTCTCCACTTCTCTTTTTCCTCCATCCCAGCCCTTCCCACCAGAACTCATGCCTTTACTACATGTCCTTTGGGCAGCTAGTCTCCACTCAGCTCCTGCATCTACACAGCAGTATTGCCACAGGGGAGTGGGGGGGAAAGCTGAGCATAGGCTTAATGGGAGAAGTGCTCAGGGTGAGACTGTCTCAATTTGGCAGGGCGAGAAATCCAAATTTCTACAAGAGCCACACCCCCCTCCCCCCGCAGAGTGGAGGAACTGCCTGGAGGTCCACTCAGTAGAGCAGGCTGGCACTGAAGCAGATGGAACCACCTACATGAGAAACGATGGCAGCTCCTCAGACACAGGGCCAGAGAGGACTGAAGAAGCGGCATAGGACTATCACAGTTATAAAAAGTGAATAATGTAATATGCCAAAGCCCAATGAATTATATACTTTAAATTGGTATGTGAATTATCTTGCAATAAAGCTATTTTAAAAACTCAAAAAAACCTGTTGTACCAAAAAAGACACCATAAACAAAATTAAAAGATAAGCCACAGACTGGAAGAAGTGTGACATACCTAATGACAAAAGGCTTAAGCTTCAAAATATATATGTGGTATAGGTGCATGTATTTATAAATCAGGAAAGGCAAAGCACCCAACAGAACAACAAATAAAGGCTACAAATTGGCAATAATTAATTATCAAGGAGAAGCCATTCCAAATACAAGGAGAAGCCATTCCAAATACATCTGACTGGGAAAGATGAATAGACCTGGGATCAAAAATTAGGGAGAACAGAGAAAACAGGAATGGTGGGAATAGACATCAGTACAAGTTTAGCCACATCAAGCAAAATTTAAAATGCACACATCAGTAATCATATATGGTAATAACAGCAGCTAACATGCATTCAGTGTTTTCAAAGTACTGTCTATATTATTAACTCATTTATTTCTCTACATCCCATGATGCATAATCATTGCCCCATTTCACAGATGATGCAACTGAGGCAGAGAGGCTAAGTATCTTTCCCTAAATTACCCAAATCATAATCAGTAAGAGTCTATCTATGAATTCCACTAGATTAATTCTTGTTGAAGAATTATGCAATAATTGAAAACATATATGTTGGTCTCTGCCCCCAGTTATTGGAACAGAGCTCCTAAAACCCTTGTAATTTCCCAAGTGATAAGAGCACTAGGCAGGTGATCTTGGATGGGGGCTGGGCACCAGAAAGATGAAGCCATGATTAGAAGCTTGGAATGTTAGTCCCACCCGCTACCTTCCTGAGAACTGGGAATGGATTTAATGACTGATTATGCCCACATGAGGAAGCCTCCATAAAATCCCAATAACAGGGGGGTTCAGAGAGCTTCCAGGTTGGTGACCGCATCCATGCTGGAACGGTATGTACCCTGACTCCATGGGGACAGAAATTCCTGTGCTCAGGATCCTCTCTGACCTCATCCTGTGTATCTCTTCACCTGGCTCTTCATCTATATCCTTTATCGTATTCTTTTATGAACTAGTAAATGTAAAGTAAGTGTTTCTCCAAGTCTTGTGAGCTGCTCTAGCAAATTCATCATACCTGAGGAAAGTGTTGTGAAAACGTCAGATTTGGAGCTGAGTTGGACAGAAGTCGTGGGTAACCAGATGGAACTGGCACCTGAAGTGAGGCGGGCGCAATCTTGTGTGTGTGGCTGAGTCCTTCACCTATGGGATCTGACACCATCTCCAGGTAGACAGTGTTAGAAATGAGTTAAATTGTTGGACACCCAGGTGGTATCCCAGAGAATTGTTTGCCACACATTTGGTGACCAGAAGTGAAATGTCGTGCATGAGTGTGATGGTAGTGGCAAAGTAGAGGAGCACTTTTCAACACAAGGATGCCTCTGCACACTGTTATGAAGAAAAACTGCTGAAATGTTTGCAATATGGGAATCTATAGAGTGGGGTGTAGTCACATAAGAATGCCATGTAGCAGTTAAGATGAATAACTAAACGTATATGTAACAACAGGTTTTCATCTCAGAAACATAAATATCAAGTGAAAAAATCATTTGCAAAATAAAATGCACATTCGGCAATCCAGTATGTAAAATTTTAAATACACAAAACAGCACTATATATTGATATAAGGATATGGACTTACAGAAAGCAATTTTTTTTGTGGGCAGTAAGAATATACCCTGATTTCGTGACAGTGGTGGTCACTGGGGAGGAAGGGTAGAGAATAAGACCTCTGAGGCAAAAAGGATAAAATATTAATTTTAGGTTGTAAAGTACACAGTAGATTGTTACATTACTCTGTATACTTGAGTAAGTGTCTAAGGGAGGGAGCCTGAGTGGATGCTTTACTAGTTCCAGAAAAGGGCAAGCTGAGGGCACAGGTGTGGGGAAAGTGGAACAACCACACACTGTGTGAGCATGAGGGCCACGGCTGGGGTGCGGGATGAGAGGGGACGGCCCAGGCCCTGCCAGGCACGGGGGCAGGCAGGGCTGGGAGCTGGGCCAGGGGGAGGGCAAGCTGGGAGAGCAGAGCTGGCACAGGGGAAAACAAGAGGCCACAGCAAGGCCAGGGCAACACCAGGGTATTGGTGGTGGCAGGGAAGGAAGAAAAGGGTAGGCAGGCAGGGAGAAGACTGGAGGAAGGAGAAACCCAGGAAGGGCTGCCAACATCTCAAGGGGGAGCCAGAGGGAAGGTTTCACAGCCACAGGTGAGAGAGGACTGTTACACTCACCATTCCTATTGCTCCCACCCAGCCTGGCTGGGGCTGGAGCTGGCCAAACATCTCCTCACTGGCTGGTTCCTCAGGGCATCAGATCAAATTTGCTTTGCTAAGGTTAAATTATCTGAACAGAGCAGAAGACATCTTTTGGGGTCTCTGCCTAAATCAAAATCACTCTCCCTTGTCTGGGAACTGCACCCTTCCTGACCCCACCCACAGGTTCCAGGGGCTTGTATGAGTACCATGTGGTCCCACTTCTCTGGGCAGGACTTTTTTTTTCTTTTTGATTGTCAGAAGATGTCTTTACTTCCTAGTCACATTTTCATTGCTACTTGGAGGTTCTGTACAGCTTCGAGCTTGGAAATCACTCTCCCTCAGAATACAAAGGTACCGTGCATGCCTGCAAGGGAGTAGGGGTCTGTCACTAGGGCTCTGACTCTGTATGTGGCCTCACTGAGGCCTACCCTTTTTTCCCAGTGCTCTGAGATGTAACAGGAATATACCTGGATGTGTGTCTTTTTCCACTCCTTGCCCTGGATGCTTGCCCTTTCAATCTAGAAACTCATGTCCTGGAGTTCTGAGCTTTGTATTGTTTCCGTAAAAATTCTCACCTACCCTTTCTTCTGTTGTCTTTTTTGAAGCTCCAAATAGTCAGATATTGGACTTGCAAAACTGTCTCTCTGTTTAGGAAATTTATTTCTCCTCTATCCTCCCACACTCCTCACACCCCCTTTCTTCCTCTTTGGGGTCTTGTTCTAATTTCTAGATTTCCTCACCTTTATATGTCATACTTCTAATAAACTTTTTATTTTGATTTATTTTGATTATCTCACTTTTAATTTTCAGGAGCTCTCTCTTACTCTCTGTTGGTTCTAGTCACATTCTGTTCTATGCCATGCAACAACTGTGTTCTAGTAGCTGCAATAATTAATTATAGGCTTGGCTTTTTTGGTTGTTTGTTTTTTGTTTGTTGTTTTTTTTTTTAGGTTTTTCTCAGCTCCTTGAATTATCTGTTTCTTCTTCCACATTCCTTTTAACTTTGATTTGTTTTGGTCTGTCTTTCATGCTGGAAGCTTCCCTCAAATGTATGATTTGGGGTCCTTGGTTTACTGTTCATACTTAGTGAGGCACCCCAAAGCTTACCAGAAGCTCTTCACACAAGAAGCGAGCTTATCTGCTGAGCTTATCTACATGGTAGTCAGGACTTGCTGGATTCCTGACTTGTTGGATTCCAAAACATCCTGTAGATCTTTTCTCTGGGGCCAATCAGTTTCTAGAGAAGAGTTTGCCAAATTTCTGCCTAGCAGGTAACAAGCCTGGCTGCCATCACTTTGGAAATCAGGTGGGAGGGGAGTGGAGTGGGAAGGAATGGGTTTTTAATATAGTCTTATCACCATCCCGTGCTTGTTATTTCAAAGCCTGGTACTTCTCAAGTTAAATTGCTCCAAAGAATAAATGAACTCTTTTGTCAGGATGGGGGAAGAGCAATGAGTAGCATGTGCTCTTAAAGGAATTGGGCATTTGATCATTCCTCATATAAATTTCCAACAAAAAGTTCTGTTTTTAGCCCTGTGTACAAACCTCTAAAGCACAGAGCTTTAAAGCACTTTATACTGCTAATCCTGAAGCTTTGTGGAGCTGTAAAGTGAATCTTCTCCCTTCTCATCAGAGTAGCCCTCTAAACATAAAGATTTCAGCTTTTTCTGCTCTGCTACAATTACCCTTATTCATCTATCTTTTGTCTTTCAAAAAATGACATCTATTATCTTTTATCTCCTGTGCTCCTTGCCCTTGTGGGTTTAGCACTTTTTATTCTCTTGTTACCAGTTCATTAAAGTGTAAGGAGGAAATAAACACATCAATCTACTACTTTTAATCAGTACTAAGGTGTCACTATCCTTCCCCACTGCTCTTTTATTGTCATTAATATTCTGACTAAGGGTTGCATTTGGTTCACAAAAGAAAAAATAAATAAAGAAAGAAACAAATGAATTTTCCTGGGGCATCTGGGCAAAGAGTGAGATTAAAGAGTAAAGAATAAAGAATAATGACACTGAAAGAGACCTTATATATCCATGAGAAGAGAGAATATGAAGGACATCAAAAACCTAGTTGTGGGGTCTCCCTGGTGGCGCAGCAGGTTGAGCACAGCACTGTGAAGCTGTCTGTTTCCTCTGCAGCGTGGGTTCGATTCCTGGCTGGCCAGGGAGATGCCCAAATGGCGTAGCAGACCTCTCCTGTCTCGCCCACTGCTCCTCTCAGCAGTGTATTTCAGTCTGTCTACCTGTTCTGCTCCCCGCTTTGCCTGTTCTGCTCCCCGCTCTGTCTCTGGTGAATCCTCTCACTCTCCTGTGCCTCTGACCTGTACCCCAGTTCTTGTATAAAAATAAATAAATCTTGGGCCTCCCATGGTGGTGCAGCAGTTGAGCACTGGGCTGCAAGGCTGCCTGCAGCCTCTGCAGCGCCAGTTGGTTCCACGGCCGCTGGCGAGGGTCCCATAAATAAATAAATAAACAAACAAACAAATCAATAAATAAATCTTTAAAAAAAAAACAAACCTAGTTGTGACTAGACAAAACAAAAAAGAGGTAAAGTTTAGCAGTGATGTGAGTGGCCTGAGGGGAAGGAGGAGGAGAGATAAAGCATCTTCTTTTCCTTCACTGAGCATCACGGGACACTGTTGATCCAAGACAGCTTGGTGGCTGTTAATAGGTAGGCAGGGAAAAGAGCTGACTGAAGTTTGTTTCTATCTGCAAATCATTCACAAGACTTGACCTTAAAAAAAAAAACGGCTTCAAGGAAGTGTTGTGTTGAAGAGTTATTATCAAGAATGATGTACTTGAAGACCCACAGGATAGATGCTATAAGCATTCAAGTTGATCCCCACTTTTATTTATCATCTAGAATCCTGCAGACCTGAATCAGAATGTCTAGTAGAATTTCTAATGAAATCCATTTTTAATAAATTTCCCAGGGGTTCTGATGTATAACTGAAACTTGGAAACAACAACAAAAAATTTTAAAAGTAAAATAATTTATAAATAAATAAATTTGGAAATGACTAAATAAGAACACACTCCTAAAGTCATTCTGTATATTTTTAAATACACAAACACACTTGAGTTGTTGGGGTCACTGAGTAGGAGGCTAACTCCTCACTCTTGACCACATAAAGAATCTGCCCTTCAAATATTAATATATTCCTTGGGCTTGGTACTTTCTAAAGGCTTTTTTGTTTGTTTTTTAGATACGGAGATTTATTCTGCTGTAATTACATTCTTACTATATAGAAAAATGTCCTCCCTTTCTTTTTAAGGTTAAAAGAACTGTTTTAGGTTTACAATAAAATTAAGCAAACAGTACATAGATACTTATAAAGAGTATCTGTTTGAATTATCACCTGCAACTACTCCTGGACTGTTAGCGTGAAAGTCAGTATGATATTTTCAATCAGAGAAAGTTCTTTTCAGCTAAGCATACATACCGTTCTTGAACAGCTTTAGTGTAAGCCCCTGCATTCAGTGTTTTTCTGATCAAGTCACAGATGTGAGAGCTCTCTCCTGGGCATCGAGGAAGTCCAAACACACCTACAGCAGTAAAGACAGAGTCACTCCTTCAATAATCATGGATGGAATACCTGCTATGTGCAAGGCACTGGGCAAATCAGTAACAAACCAGAGTAGACCCTGGTCTCATTAATTCAATCCTGAAGAGAAGAATGTATTGAGGATTAATACTATAACCAGTGCCTCCCCTGGTGGCACAGGCGGTTAAACACAGCCCTGTGAAGCTCGCTGCAGCCTCTGCAGCACGGGTTCAATCCTGGCAGGCGGAGGAGATACCCACACGGCGCAGCAGACCTCTCCTGTCTCGCCCACTGCTTCCCTCAGCAGTGTATTTCAGTCAGTCTATTTGTCTGCTCCCCGCTCTGTCTCTGGTGAATCCTCTCACCCTCCTGCACACCTGGCCTGTACCCTGGTTCTTGTATGCATGAATAAATAAATCTTTTTAAAAAATTCTATAACCAGCTTCTTCCTAGTGTATCCACACTCTTTTCTACCTAATTTAGGACCTTTTTTTTTTTTTTTAAAGATTTATTTATTTATTTATACAAGAACCGGGGTGCAGGCCAGATGCAAGGGAGGGTGAAAGGATTCACCAGAGACAGAGCAGGGAACAGAACAGGCAGATTGATGAAATACACTGCTGAGGGGAATAGTGAACCAGACAGGAGAGGTCTGCCACACCATGTGGGACCTTCGCCAGCCAGCCGGGATCGAACCAGTGCTGCAGAGGCTGTGAACAGCTTCACAGTGCTGCACTCAACCACCCGCGCCACCAGGGGAGGCCCTAATTTAGGACCTTTGAACCTCCTCCTCCCTCTCTTCCTACCTCAATGGCTGGCTACATTCTCTTCTCTTAGGCCTCAATCAGAAAAGTCCTATCTGTCTACCTTTTTTTAAAAGTATTTATTTTAGGGCCTCCCTGGTGGCTCAAGGGGTTAAGCACCGCACTATGAAGCAGTCCGCAGCCTCTGAGGCATGAGTTCGATCCCCGGTTGGCCATGGAGCAACCCACATGGCGAAGCAGACCTCTTCTGTCTTGCCTGCTGCTCCCCTCAGCAGTGTACTTCAGTCGTTCCGCCTGTTCTGTTCCCCACTCTGTCTCTGGTGAATCCTCTCACCCACCCCCCAACATCTCTGGCCTGTACCCCAGGTCTTGTATGCATAAATAATCTTAAAAAATAAAAAAAATTTAAAAAATATTTATTTTATTTATGCATACAAGACCTGGGGTGCAGGCCAGAGGTGCAGGGGAAGAGGGGATTCATCAGGAATCCTCTGTGGCTATACCCATTCCATCTCCAGAAATTCATGCTAATAACACTGGAGAGAAGTAAATATCAACCTAATGATTCACCTGTGTTCCCAGCCTCTAGACTCCTAAGTCTCTCCCTACTTCTTAATCAGTGATGGTAAGTTTGTTATAAACTAAAAACATCAGGGTTTTGCAAGGATGGCTGACTTCTTATAGAAATAGAATTGTTCGAATTTTTAAAATCAAGTGGTTATATGGAATAGAACAGAGAAAAAAGGAGGCAATGAGACCACAATTACCTTGATGTTGTCCCCCAAATGTGATCAGATTGATCATGGGAGGTGATGGGCATCTTTGAGCCACTGCCCTCCTGGAGAAAAAAAGAATCATCAGTTCTGTTAGATGGAAATGTGTCATCAACTATCGACTTCCCAGACAAAACTACTTAAACCTGTGGTTCCCCAAAGCACAGAGTTTCAGGATTTTTCCTCTGATGTGGCAAAACACAACTCTTTATTATTTCATAGAAAATAAATTAAGTTCCAAGAAGTTTCTTATATGAAGCAACATTTTAGAATAGTTTCCCTCGCAAGTTAGGTGGAGAGCCCAAAATAATTAGAATGGATTACGTGCATAAAAAGAAAAAAAAGTCAATTCCATATAAGTGGTATGAGACTTACAGAAATTGGCCTCCCTGGGAGAATCCCATAGCATTGTAGCCTTTCTGCAATTTAGGGTCCTCAGCAAGCATCTGACACACTTTCGTGACTTGGGAATTGACATTCAAGAAGAAACTATTCTCCACATCCTAAAAGAGGAGTCACAGAGGAATGAAAGATTGGGACTGAAAACAACCTTTAGCATTTTTTCTAAGAGGTGAACTTGTTAGGTTGGTATTCTCACATGAGCCAAGACTTAAAATAGCCCTGTATGGTTTGCTGTTAAAAATACAATGTAAATGCTCAGTGAAATAAACCAGAAAGAAAAAGAAAAATAGTGGATGGTCTCAGTCATAGCAGGAATTTAGAAAACCCAAATAAGGATCAGGAAAAAGGCTAATTATAATAAAGTAAAAATCAAAATCAACAGGCAGCTATAAACCAGAGACACATTACAGTGAGGAGAAGGGAGTAGGATCAAAACAAGGGTGGTGGGAATTTTATGGGGACTATAACCAAGATGAAAATGCATACATTGTACAAAAATGAAAAATGATATAAAAATATATAAAAGAAAAAATGTAAAAAAAAATTAGCATGCAACTATAAATCAGAGATATTCTGCAAGGGAGGGGGAGGTAAAGGAATCAAAATAGGGGAGAACGGTATCACTCATAGCAGGAATCTAGAAAACTTAAATAAGGGACCAGGAAAATGAATAACTATAAGAAAGTGAAAATCAAAATCAACAAAAAACTATGAACCAGAGACACTCTATGGGGGTGAGGGGCGGGGAGGGGAGGGATTGGGGTCAAAATAAGGGGGTTGCAATTGTATGGGGAATATAAAAATAAAATTTATTTTTTAAAAAAAATAGGGGAGAAAGCACAAGGGACTATGATGATGGATCACCGGTGAATTGGTGGTGGGAATTTTACAGGGAACACACCTGAAAGGAGAAAGCATACAAGCATACATTGTACAAAGATGAACAATGATGTAAAATACATATATATTAAAAAAGAAAAAAAATACAATATAAAGCATTTTAACAATACATTCAATGAAATCAGCCAGCAAACTTTCCAAGAAACAGCTGTGAAGGACCTTACCTCCATCAGGGTCTTCCCAATCTCTAAAGATAAGACATAAATTCCAGGTATTTTCTTCTCAACCATTTTTTTAATTGCACCCATGCTTAAGGGATTACAACAGCTGTCTCCTAGACAACACAGAGAATGATGGGAACTTGTGAATCAAAACAATATTACTTTTTAAAAAACTTTTGTGCTCTTTACAGACACATCACCCAAAGCAGTGATAGTGAAGGCAAAGATAAACAGCTGGGACTACATCAAATTAAAGAGCTTCTGCACAGCAAAAGAGACAATAACAAAAACAAAGAGAAACCCCACCGACTGGGAGAACATTTTTGCACACAACACTAATGATAAAGGACTGATCACAAAAATCTACAAAGAGCTGATGAGACTCAACAAAAACAAAGAAAATAATCCAGTCAAAAAATGGGCAGAAGAGCTAAAAAGAAACTTCTCTGAAGAGGAAATGCAAATGGCCAACAGGCATATGAAAAAATGTTCAACATCACTTGTAATCAGGGAAATGCAAATCAAAAATACCATAAGATACCATCTTACACCAGTGAGAATGGCACATATTGAAAAAACTAGCAACAACAAATGTTGGCGAGGTTGTGGAGAAAAAGGAACTTTCCTGCACTGTTGGTGGGAGTGCAAACTGGTCCAACCACTACAGAGAGCTGTGTGGAGATTTCTAGACCTACTAAACATAGAGCTTCCATATGATCCAGCAATTCCACTCCTAGGTATTTACCCAAAGGGCACAGAACATTAATTCCAAAGAGCACCTGCACCCCTATGTTTATCGCAGCACTATTTACAATAGCTAAGCTTTGGAAACAACCCAAATGCCCAAAAATAGATGACTGGATCAAGAAGATGTGGTACATATACACCATGGAATATTACTCAGCATTCAAAAAAGATAAACACATGCCATTTGCAGCAACATGGACGGAGCTGGAAGGGATCACGCTCTGTGAAATAAGCCAGAAAGAAAAAGAAAAATACCGGATTGGTCTCACTCATAGCAGGAATCTAGAAAACTTAAATAAGGGACCAGGAAAATGAATAACTATAAGAAAGAAATTATCAAAATCAACAAACAACTATGAACCAGAGACACTCTATGGGGGGGTGGGGGACGGGGAAAGGAGGGATAAGGGTTAAAATAAGGGGGTTGTAATTGTACAGGGAATATAAAAATAAAATTTAAATTAAAAAAATAAAAAATAAAAAACGTTTGTGCTTCTAAGGGTATTATCAATAATGTGAAAAGACAACAGACAGAACGGGAGTAAATGTCTGCAAAACATATATCTGTTAAGGGTTTAACATCTCCAATATACAAGGAACTCCTATAACTTAACAAGAAGACAACCTAATTTTTTAAATGGGAAAAGGATTAAAATAGACATTTTTCCAAAGAAGATATATAAACGGCCAACAAGCACATGAAAAGATGTTCAACTTCACTGATCTCCAAGGAAATACAAAAATAACAACATTTCACAACTACTAAGTGGGTTTTAATTTGAGGGGAAAAATATTAAAAACTGGAAAATAACAAGTGTTAGCAAGGATAGTCTGTTGAGTCCTCATAAAATTAAACATACAAAATTACCATATCCAGCAATTTCCCTTCTAGTTTTCTACCATGAGAGATGAAAATATCCATCCATGCAGAAACTTATGACTGAGTATTTATAACAGTATTATTTATAATAGCCAAAAGGTGGAAATGACACAAATGTTCCTCAATTGATGAATGGATGAACAAATTGTGGTATATACATACAATGGAATATTATTCAGCCATAAAAGGGAATGAAATACTGATACAGGGTACAATGTGAATGAACCTTGAAAATATTACTCTAAGTGAAATAAGCCACACACAAAAGGTCACGTATTGTATGATTCCTTTTATATGCTATATCCAGAATAGGCTAATCTATAGAGAGAGCAGACTGAACACTTCCACAGGGTGGTAGGAAAGGGGAATGAGGAATTATTACTTAATGGACATCAGCTTTAGCTGGGGTGATGAAAGTTTTAAAACTAGAGAGCAGTGGTAGTTGAACAATGCTGTGATTACACTAAATGTCAATGAATTGGGGCCTCCCTGGTGGCACAAGGGGTTAAGACACAAAGTAGGAAGCTATCCGCAGCCACTGCAGCATGAGTTCGATCCCCAGCCAGGGAGCTACCCATATGGCGCAGCAGACCTCTCCTGACTTGCCCGCAGCTCCCCTCAGCAATATATTTAAGTCAATCTGCCTGTTCAGCTCCCCACTCTGTTTATGGTGAATCCTCTCACCCCCCACACCTCTGGCCTGTACCCCAGATCTTGTATGCATAAATAAATAAATATTTAAAAAAGTCAATGAATTGTACACTTAATTTTATATGGCTAATTGCATGTTATATAAATTGCACCTCAACTATTTTTAAAAAGAACACTTTTTTCCTTTAGCTCATATTTATCAAGTAATAACAAACTTTAATAGCTCATACAATATAACTGGAACATGAAATATAAAACTGAAAAATAGAGGCACATATTTTCCTCTTATCATTTTGGTACAGTTGGGGTTAAGAAATTCAAAACCACTTTGAAGTCTGATTTCTCTTTAAGACTAGAGTAAGACAAGTGAAGTGCCTGGGACACAAAATTTACAAAAGCATTCACTCTCAGTGCTGACCCTGAACTTGTACAAACTAGAAAGTGAGGGCCTCCCTGCCTTACCTTAGACCCAGTTCTTTTTCTTTTCCTGTCCAAGGAAGCAGAAGTAAGAATAGGAAGCAAAGTCAAGTGTCATTGAGTGGGAGAAGAACTGACATCATTTTCCATTTCAAACTTAATCATCCCATTTCAATCTGAGAGGAAGCTCAGAATTGGTTTTTAAAGAAAAAAAGCTAAGGCCTAGAGCATCTTCCATTTCTCTCATAACTTTCACTGCACTGAACTGCTGGTTATTTAACTGCTTGCCCATAGGGACTGACTGTGCTCTGAGAGAACACAAGTCATCTGGTGTTCTCTTTAACTGCACTGTAGTAGCCACAGGACCTGGCGCAGAGTCTTAAAAAGAATTATCTATACTTGCCGACTAATTTCTCACAAGCATTTTTCTCTAACCAGTAAGGCACTCTCTTACCACTCCCCACAAACTACTTATGTCAGTCTTTAGTATTCTTCATATTGCTAAATTGTCCAGACCAAAACCTGTGGGATCATCCTTGACTCCTTTCTCTCTCTCATCCCACATCTAATCTGTTAGCAAAATCCACTAGTTTCACCTTCAAAATATTCCAAATTTTGACAACTTCTTGAGCTCTTCACCATCAGTGTACTGTTTCAAGCCACCCCAAGCTATTTAAATTATTTCAATAGCTTCCTAATGTGTCTCATTGCAAATGCCATAACCCCCCTACAACTAAAGTGGTCCTTTAAAATTCAGTAGATCTTGCCACTCATCTGTTCAAAACCCTTTCCATCTCATTCTAGCTAGTCTCTACAGTAGACTTAGTAGGCCCAGTGACATCTCTAATTAAATGACTTTTCTTGTTCACTCTGTTCCAGCCACAATGACCTGAATGTTGGTCTTTGAACATACCGGACACACTTCTGTCTCAGGGTCTTTGATTTGCTGTTTTTTTCTTACCGGGTTTGCTGTTTTTTTCTACCAGATATCCATATGACATCTCCCCTCATCTATTTCAAGTGTTTCCTCAGTTATCACTTTCTCAGTGAATCCATCATGAAACTGCAAGCCCCCACCTCCAGTCTCTACTCCCTCCTTGTTTTATTTTCCACCTTTGCAGTATATTCTTTACTTACTTCTTTACAATCCGTCTCTCCTTGCAAAGTAAGTTCCAAAAGAGCACAGAATTTAGTCTATTTCATTCACTTTTGTATCTTCAGCATCCAAAGGGTGATCAATAACTATGTGCTAAATGTATAAATGAACTATAGGTGCCTGTTCATTGTGAATTGAATGAACAAATGGACGGGCCAAGCAGTTATGTAGCCCCCAGACCAGCCGTCCTGAGCGAATGCCAGATTCTGCACTGAGGCAAACGCTGTGCGGATTAAACGCTAGTGCAGCGCACCCACGTAAAAATGTTCTGCGAGCGCACACCAACAACGCGACTTTCCAAGGCAGAGTGGTCCCCAAATGCTAAAACATCGCGACAGCCGGGTGCTGTTTGACCACCTTCGCTGTCTACACTCGCACTTTGCAGACGCGAGCCCACGACCGGAGAGGAAGAGATGCCAAACCCTTGGACCCTCTTCTCACTCACTCAGTTACTCACCCATCCCATGCCAGATCACCAGCGGCAGCGGAGCTGGAGAGCTGAGATGCCCCAGCGCCGCGGCAGCGCAGGACCCGGGTAGGAGGACAGCAGCCAGGAGCCACAAGCAGCTGGGCGACGCCATCTTGACTGAATCACATGACCGCGCTCTGCAGCCGCGTCCAGCGCCGGCGCGAGCGGGGCGGAACCCCTCCAAGCCTCAGTCGGCTAGGTGGTGGTCTTCGGTACAGGTATTTTGCTCAAGTAGACCCCCAACCACGATGAATCAAAATGAATGTCAATGTTCATTCAGCAATTACTATACATTCTAAGTGCATTACCATTAAGAAGTCTGTATATGCTCTTCTCCACATTGTAAAGATCAGGGCATTGAGACCCTGAGAATTTGGATCAGGTGCCAAGATCACAGGTACAGCATCTTGATGGGTCCAAAGTCGTTGTTTGTAACCACAGCACTGTCTGCCTTTGGGTGAGGAGTACTTTGTGGAAGGAAGAGAGGAAGGAATGTTTCATCTTTCTATTAGAAATGCAGGGGGACGCCTCACTGGTGGCTTAAGGGGTTAAGCACCTCACTGTGAGGAGTTCCATCCCCTGCGGCCAGGGAGCAGCCCACAAGGCACAGCAGACCTCTCCTGTCTCACCTGCTGCTCCCCTCAGCAGTGTATTTCAGTCAGCCTGCCTGTTCTGTTCCCCGCTCTGTCTCTGGTGAATCCTCTAACCTCCCCTCCCCTCCATCTCTGGCCTGTACCCCAGCTCTTGTATGCATAAATAAATAAATCTTTAAAAAGAAAAAAAAGAAATGCAGGGGGAGGCATGATTTCTAGCCAGGAGCAATTGTGGCAGTGTGTGGTATTTGTTCGGCATCCTGAAGGAAAAATGGGCTTTCAACAGGCAAAGATAAAATGCAGGGAAAGACTAGAATGAGCTAAGGTAGAAAGGAAGAAAAGCACAGTGTGTTTTCTAGAAATGGCAGGGCTTCCAGACTAACAACTGTTAGATGTGTTAACTGTTGGATGTGCAAGAGTGATGGAAAAAGCCTCACTTCCTGGTTCTTCTCCACACAGTCCCGTCCCCACCCCCTGCCAAACTATTTTATGTTCTATTGCCAAATTCATTATCTTAGTTCACTTTCATCTTAGTTCCCCACTCAATTTTTTTCCCCCAGAAACACATAGAAATAGTTTTAATAGGGAGGTTAGTAAGTAATTAGGGTGTACCCACTATACAATGGAATATTATGAGACAGGTTTATAAAAGGTAAGATAGATTTGTATATAGTGACACAAAAAAAAGTCCTCAACATATTGTAAAGGAAAAACTGGCTACACACCCACCAGAAGCCCTTTTATATGATGCTTTTGGGATTTGTGGTTAGTTGTTAATTGAAAATGCATAATCATAAGCATTATACAATATACAGTTTTGTTTTAAGAAAAAAATCAGTTTATTGTATACGGTAAGCATTTTCTTTTAACTAAAGATTAAAAGTGTAAGTTCCTTCACCCACCTTTTGAGATAGACTCAGACTTCTGTGATTATGGGGCCGCTGAAGTGTTTCTTGGAGTGATTTGTGCTTCTTGCCTATAAAAATTCATCTATAATTTCTTTAAATATTTAAAGTGGAACAATAACTGGAGGCATGTGAAACAATCTAAATGCAGAATTCTTCTAGATGTATATATTTTTTTCCAACTACAGAGTTCTCATCCATACCTAATAAAACAACCTTTAACAACTTGCCTCCAACAAGCCATTCCAAAGCACTCAGTTAAGTTTTCATGGAAAACATCTTTTATCTTTATAATTTCATAAATTTTCAAAAAGAATTAATTATAATAGTAAATATCACTGATATACGTTAGTGAGATTAAACTGACATTTGGTAGTTAGGTAGCTCAACTGGCAGGAACACAATTACTCAAAGTCTCGCAAAAGCTGCTTCCTAGCCATGTTTAGCATGCTATGGACATGGCTAAGTACATTTTAGAACTGGAAGTGTAGAATAAATAGGAATTTAAAAAGGAACTATGTATTTTTGAAAAGTGTGTATATAATGTTCATGGCTGCAACACTATTTTTACTCAAAATCATTAGATTATGCACATGAAATGAAATAAAAGAAGTATTTAGAGTCCAGAGTATTAGCCATGACACTATGAAAACACCACAAAAGTATTCAAGTATATAAAAACAAAAGTTTCCTTTAAAGTGATGAATTAATCTGTAACTTGTGATGTCCAAACAAGACATTTTGATAAAAACTCAATCTTGAGCCATATATTAATTTATCGATATTCAGATATCCAGACAGAAAAGGCAAATCACCTATAAGAAAACATAGGCTGTCCTCAGATTTCTTAACACCCAGAAACAGAAGACAATGGATCACTGACTACAGAGTTCTAAAAGAACAAAAGTGTGATGTAGGAATGTTATACCCACCCAAGATGTCCTTTGAAAATAAAGGCATTAGGCAGAGTCCTGCAAATATAAAAGAACTCATAGAAAAGAGAAATACTTGAAAATGAAATTCAGTCAATTAAGAAATAAGACAAAATTAGACTTTAAAAATTGAGGGGCCAGGCCTCCCCGGTGGCACAGCCGGCTGAGCGCTGTGCTGTGAAGCTGTCCACAGCCTCTGCAGCGCGGGTTCGATTCCTGGACGGTCAGAGAGAAACCCACATGGCACGGCAGACCTCTCCTGTCTTGCCCTCTGCTCCCCTCAGCAGTGTCTTTGGTCCGTCTGCCTGTTCTTCTCCCTGCTCTGGCCTGTACCCCAGTTCTTGTAGACATAAAGAAATAAATCTTTAAAATAAAGAAATAGATGAATTAGGTTTTTTTGAAAGAAAAAAACATAATATCAAAATTTCTTTTCCTAACCTTACTTTGATATTTTAAGAAAAATAGCTCTTGTAGTAAATAAACCCTTTTTGGTGTCCAGCTTTTTAAAAAGCTTCTTTCTATTCTATTAAGTTCAAGTAACCTTGAATTTAATATTTTGAAATTTTTAATAACACATATATTATGCTAAAATTTTATTTTATTTTTTTCAGGGGAGAATGCAAATGCATTTCTCCATTCCTTAAATTATGCAGTCATTTCCCACTTTTGGGTTAGCACACCCGAGTGCAATGGATGAGCCTCTCTGTAGGAAAACCATCTTTGTGATCAAGGTATTTCTCCTGCTGGTGAGTATAATGACAAGTAGATGTACCTATTTATATACTTATTTGCTATCCTATCTATATAAAAGCATGGAAAGATATTCATAATGATGTTAATTAAATGCTAATAACAGTTATTATTAGATGATGAGGTCTAGGGTTTTTGAAATGTTTTTTCTTTGTGCTTTTCCTTTTGTATCACTTAAATTCTTTACAATAAAAATGTTTTGCTTTTATCAGGATGAGAAGCTTATTTTTCTTGAAACAAAAGTAAAAGCAAGCTTTCAACACTTCTCCCTAGTTTTCTGGATGTGGTCAAAGCTTTTGTGACCAAAATAAAAACCCAAGCTATCTTCCCAAATCCACCTCCCTTTAATCCCACATTAGCAAGGCTGGACTTTAAACCTGAAAACTCCTATTTCTCCTTCTCCCAAATCATTTTTACCATCTTGAATAGGCTTGCTCTCCTTACTCTACCTGGACAAGTACAGTTCATCCCACAAAACTTAACCTCTGGTCTGTCTCCTCCATTGACTTCTTAACAGCTCACCTTCTCCCACCCCAGCATTTTGAAATCAAGTAGTTAAAAAGTATTCATGTACAGGGCCTCCCTGGTGGCACAGTGGTTGGGCGCTGGGCTGCAAGGCTGCCAGCCTCTGCAGCGCCAGTTCGATCTCTGTCCACCGGCAAGGGTCCCACATGATGTGCAGACCTCTCCTGCTGTGCCCACTGCTCCCCTCAGCAGTGTACTTCGTCAGTCTGCCTGTTCTGCTCCCTGCTCTGGCTCTGGTGAATTCTCTCACCCTCCCTCACTTCTGACTGTACCAAGTGCTTGTATAAATAAATAAATAAATAAATAAATAAATAAATAAATAAATAAATAAATAAATCTTTTAAAAAAAAAGTATTCATGTACAAAAGTACCAACAGAGTTTCTTACTTCCTCTGGACTTAATTTTAAAAGGAACCATTAGCGAGAAACAAGTCAAGTTCTCTCACTGTAGTCAATTCTAGGTTGCTATTTTAATAAGTAACCTCTGAAGCTTATTAATATTGTAGTAGGAAAAGAGAACTTGCAAAACCTGAATTTCAACGTAACTTTAAAAAATACTGAATGTTAGTATGTAAGATGTATATCCATTCCCTGAACAGAAAAGGAACAGTGGGAACATAGAAGTATCTGGATGCGCAAAGGTTTCAGTTTTGTTTTTACGTACACAAAATAAAAATGCCTTTTGTAGATTAAAAAAATATTGTCGTTTGCCATTAAAAAACATGCTTATTAACAATCGAGATCTAGATTCCTAATGACTTTTCAATATGATAATTAGAGGTTTCACAAGTGGCGACACACAGTAAATACTCTTGGACTGAGAAACAATCTACTCCTGTCATCTGGGCCATGGAAAAATGCCATGATACTGGTGGCAATAATGAATAAAAGTAATTCCAATATTTTTGGTTTGTTAACTATTGGGAGCTACAAAAATAATATAAAAAGAATGTTTTATTAGACATGCCATCTACACTAAAATTTTTTGAGAAAATACTTTTATCTTTTTGCCCAATGGAAAAGAACATCTCTTTTTTTGTAACACTGACACATCTTTTAAGGCTTTTGAATTTTTTTTTACCATCTACAAACACATATGCACACAATATTTAATTTGTAAGAAGGGCATAAAAGAAGCATCTATTGCCTCTCTTTCTGTTCATTTCTTAGTAAGTCTCACTTCCTACAGGCATTTCTGTTAACAGTTCCTACTATTTAGTTTACTTGATGTTTATCATGATTTCTTCAATTAGTATAATTATTGGTTTGCCAATTATAAATTTTAAATTGTATTTCACCACAGTAAAAAAATAAATTAACCAATTTTCCTTTCTTTCCATTTCTCAGTATCTTTAAATATTGTTAATTATTATAAATGTTTATATTATTTTTATGACTACATTAAATACAAA